CCCTGGGCATATTCTAGCTGATCCCTGCATAACCGATAGGGGCCGACCTGAGTTCTCGCGGGCTTTACGTCGAACCATAGGTTTAGTCAGCCGCTCATATGTATATTTTCACTTTGCGAATTAATCTACTTGTAGCTCTAGGGCCGTACTTTTCGGGGGGTCATCAACCCCTAAACCCTAAACCCCTAAAACCCTAAACCCTTGCATGCACAGGCGGGAGCCGCAGATGTGCCAGCTTTTTTGTGGCCGTCCCGGCGTGCTTGCAGCGACCCCTGACATGAATTCGTTAGACCTTGCGAGCCAAGACTTGGTTTTTCAAAGCCCCCTGGCGACTTGCAGTAGCAACCCGCAAAATGTTGAAAGCCGTGCCAAGAGAACTCAATACCCCTAAAGTAAGGACTATACCTTAAACCACAATAATAATAAGGCCCCTATAGTTTAAGGCATATTCCCTAATTAAGGGGTATTGGGTTCTTTGGGAAGCCGCAAAATGTGGAAGGCCGTGTCTGTACCACTTGCAGGCGTCGAGGGCTTCTCACCGTGCCACTATGACCCGCAGGACGGGCTTTGCGACCGTTGTGGGGCTCAACAACGGCCTTATACGGCTTCACCCCTAGAGAGCCCAGTACCCCGTAATTAAGGAATATACCTTAAAATAATATGAGGGGGTATTGGGCTCTCTTGGCAGTGGATCCCAAAGCCCTAACCCACAAGTCTTTTGGCTCCGACCAACCCTTGTATTCCACAAGATTTTTGCTCCGTACCATCCTACGAATCCACGAAGACTATTCCCTCTTGCGCCCGGAGGACCCTTCGGATCCTCGAACATACTACGGTTTAGAAGCAAGTACCAGAGAACCCAATACCCCTTAATTGAAGGATATGCCTTAAATTATAGGGGCCTTAGTTAAGGTATATTCCTTAATTAAGGGGTATTGGGCTCTCTGAGTAGAGCTTGCTAACAGAAGCTGATGGTTGGACATCAAGGCCTGCCAAGCATTAGCAACCGCTGACAAGCCTTTGTGCAACCTGCAGGCGAGTAGTTTGGTTTGTTCGCGAGGATTGCAAAGCCCTTCTAAGGCCTAGTGCTCGTGAGCACTAGTACAATATAGCATTACCAAGCCTGTACTACTGAGCGCTATGGTGATCATTAGTACTAGTGAGGTCTGGTGAGCGCTAATAAGCACTACGGTGAGTGCTAGTGGGTGCTGGTGAGGCCATGTCAGTTGTGGCGGGGCAGACAGAGTTCAAAGGTTGGCTCCAAACCAAGTATCCTCAAGAACCATTACTAGCAAACTCCATGCGCAATCCCCCCTTGAGGGGGATCCCTCTACATCATAAGTCTTCGCATTTCTGACACATGACGTCGTTTGAGTTCCGAATGCCTGTTTTCCTGAAGCCGTGAGTTCCCAGATGCCAGACTCTCGACCCCCGAGAGCCCTTTATCCCGAAGCCCATGTATAAGTCCGCCTATAGAGAATCCGATAGCGCAAGTCCCCCAAGCGCTTCAAACCTGTAAGTCTGAACGCCTCTTCACTCTCCCTCCTTTGAGGACAACTTGTTCGCCCAAATCACCGGCTACAAGTTCGGCACCGAGTGGTTTTCCTAAACCCTAAACCCTAAACCCTACTCCTTCGGAGAGTGTGGGTTTAGGGGTTTAGGGCTTTGGGTTTAAGGTTTAGGGTTTAGGGCTTAAAGTTTAAAGTTTAGGGTTTAGGGTTTAAAGTTTAGGGTTGAAGGTTTAGGGGCTAAGGTTTAGGGATCGACCTTTCTGTTCAGCTGAGGCTGTAGGGCAGGTTTCGAGGTCTGTATACTGTAGCGATTCTGTGGGGGCGACTTTTCGGCCCAAGTTGTTGGTGACACTGAGACCGGCACAGAATGTACAACAACAAATCTGTGAACAAGTTAGCATGTATGTATGTATACAATTATAAAACACATATAACATATATATATATATATAACATATTATATATATATATATGTATATATATATATATGTATGTGTATAAGCTCGACTTATGTTCATCGCATTGGTCACTGTATTATTCCCAGGTGATACATGCACGAGGCACATGCTGCCAACGCACCATGTGCAGTCTTCTAAGGGCTGCTGATCCGCAGCGGGACCTCATCTAGCACAAGCTTAATCCCTTATGACCCTAAACCCTAAACCCTAAACTCTAGACCCGAAGACTCTAAGACCCTAAGACCCTAAGACCCTAGACCCTCAACCCTAAATCTGACCCTACGGCCTGAATCGCTTCACTCGTGGTTCAGGATCTTAGAGATTGCACAACCGGAAAGCCACACGTGAAACGAATTGTAAGTTGCCTTGAAACCCGAGAGGCAAGAGTTCCGAGAACTCCCATTCTTAGATGTCTGCGAACATGAGTATAGGTATAGTTTTTGCGCACAGCACCAGGGAAGGCATGTTCATCGCACTATATCCCTGGCCATTTCTAGAATTTCATATTGTGTATCCTAAACCCTAAACCCTAGACCCTAAGCCCTAAGCCCTAAACCCTAAACCCTAATCCCTAAACCCTAAACCCTAAACCCTAAACCCCAATCAAGAACCCAGCAGCCTTGATCTCCACATGCGAAGCTGCCGCCATGCCGTGGGGTCTCTCTACGGCGCTGCGCGACTGGGACGCAGCATCGCCACAAGAGCCTCTGGAGTGACTCGCTCTGCAAATCCTGGAACCTTTCCTTTGGGGTTATAGGGTTAGGGTTTAGGGTTTAGGGTTTAGGGTTTAGGGTTTAGGGTTTAGGGTTTGGGGTTTAGGTTTCAGTCTTACACCCTGAACCTTTCAAGAGCAAAGCCTGAACTTCAAAACGCTCACCCCTGAAACCCAAAAGCCTGAAGCTGACCCTATGCTTCCAAGGACCCTATAGTTGGGGGCCTAGACCCCTTAAGGACCCACTTATCAGGTCCCTGGAAGTGTAGGGTTAATTAAACCCCCCAAAGCTACTCAGCCTGAACCCTGCGGGCTTTGAGTTTCGAGTGTCATGTTGAAGCCCAAACCTCCCAAAGCGTCCAAAGTATCTGTAGTAGAATATAGGGATTCTAAGTTAGGAGTTGCTGCGGGGAGGTATCCCCCATAACAATACATACAGGACTTTTTTGGGACTGAAAGGGTCTCGGGCTAAAGATCACAGGGTGCTACACCTGAGCATCTTAGCCAGTAACAGGGTCCTGCACACAACGGTGCTTTGATTCTTGTTGGCTGCAGCAAGAGATCCAGCAGTTAGTTGAATGCACCAACCAGCAGACTAGACGGTCTGTAAAGCTTGTAAGATGGTAAGGGAATCTCAGCACAGAAATGCTTAGGGCTAACGCCTGAAGCTCCGGGCAGCTAGGGTTTTCAAAAAGTCTCCGCAGTTCCAGGATGTCTAGCATGCAGGTACCTCAAGCTTCCCAAACCTTACCCTAAGGGTCCAAGTACCTAATCATCATATACTCTCCCAAAAAGTAACCTAGATAACTACTATCTGAAACCTAAGTACCTGATTACCGGGTCCTTCGGACCCTGGGTTATGCCTGACCCTGGTTGCTTTCGAGGACGCACTTGGGTGTTGACTTCCCTTTGCCGATTCCCTACAGCCGTCGCCGGGATATCGCCGTGGAGTTCCTGCCGCTTTTCTGACTTTAACACCAAGTATCGGGTTTGGGGGTTTCATCATGGCTCAGCACCCAGAGAGCCCAATACCCCTAGGTCTTCGAACCCTAAGCCCTAAACCCTTAATTAAGGAATAGACCTTAAATCATAATATGAAGGCCCTCATAATTTAAGGTATATTGCTTACTTATGGGGTATTGGGCTCTCTGGGCAGTCCTCAACGCCCAGCTTGTGATTGTGTAACTGTAAACCCAAACCCTAAGCCGAAACATACTCTAGCTGTAGTAGGGATTCCCAAATGCAGCCAACTCCCTAAACCCTAAACCCTAAACCGTGGCATCTAGCGGCTACGATTGGACCAAAGGCCTCAAACTGGATCATGTTCCTGGATTTTTTCGCAGTACAACGAGTAATGTTCATTAACCAGCAATATTTTTTACAGCAATAACAAGAATAATAGCAATGATAAAAGTTTTAGCAGTTTCAGCATCCGCAAGAATAATAGCAAGAATACAAAAAAAGAACCCCAAACCGCCAAACCTAAACCCTAAACCCTAAACCCTAAACCCTAAGTTGGTCGGCATTAGTTTTGGTTCGGCCTTGGAGCTCCTTCTCCTTTTTGTTTTCCGGCTTTCAAGGCATCGTGGAATTCAGGGGAAGCTTGGCGGGCTTTTGTTTAGGGTTTAGGGTTTAGGGTTTTGTACTCAGAACAGGATTCTCTAGGCTTTCATATAGGGCCCTTGATGATCAGAATAAGGTTTTTCGGGCACATCGCAGTGTTACTTTACTTGATGGGGGACTAGAGGGGGATACTGTAGCCTATTATTCCGACCTACAAACGTTTCCGCCGTTTGGGTGAAGCCAACCCTCAACCCCCTAAAACCTAAACCCCAAACCC